AGTGCTGATTGGCTTTTAGCCCTTATTTTCCATCTGGAGAGCCTTAATGCTCTTGAAAGAAGTGTAGTAGTTTTATCTACATTAGCATTATAGCTTGGGTTAGGAAGATGCTTTTGAAGTGAAGCTCCTGATTGCACCTGCCTACTGTACCTTGCTTTGTACTATGAAATGAAATCTGAGAGTTGGATTAAATTGGGATGAAAGTAAACTGGAAAATGTTTTGCCTACAGCTAATATGCATTCAGTCCATGGAACCAGACTATGGCTTGTCTTGCACCATACCTCCCGTTTCACCTTCCCATGTAGAGTGTGGATGTCAGTTTCTCAGCATCAACTGTTTGTGCGGAGTTGGTCTTAATATGCTACCCTACATGATCATTTAGATTGGCCTTTAATACAGATCACTTCCTGGATCTTGTTGCCAAACAGAAGTGCAAAAATCTATGGATCAAGTGTGGGAGAAGTAAAAGTTTTGTTTCATGCTACAAGTGTGCAGACTGACTTTATTATCTTTGATGCTCCTGACTGTAGTTTAGGTCTTGTGTGATGTTTAGATTCAGCTTGATGCCCTAAAGGAGAAATTGGATTTCAGGCTTCCATCAACACCAAGTTTTTGGACACTCTAAACCTGAGGAGTAGGAGAAGACATATTTGTGTCACGTTCAAGTGAGAGTCACACCACTGCTGCTTCGCTTGTTCAGAACAGAGCTGGGAGTTGCTTGCTTTGTTCCCATGTGGAATTTTGTTTATAAGGGAGAGAGTAAAGGCAAATGTTTCAACATTTTTTTACCAAGTACACTTAATCTCACATGAATAACCTTTCCAACCCACCTACAGTAGGGCTGTGCTTCACTAAAAGATTAGTGTATTGTAGTAAGAAATAAAGCATTTTATAAGCAGTGACAGAGGATTCAAAATAATTGGGGGTTATGCTTCATTAATTCTTCTTGCTTTTCTGTTATCACTTTGTGTAATCTTTTACTAGTAGCAGGAATCATTAGTTGAAGATTAAAATTCTCAATTGACCATAGAAAAGAGGAGGGAAGCGAGTCTTCATCTGTCCCTGACATACCTGTGATTTGAGCTAGAAAGACTGTATCTAGAAACAAGGAGAGATGAATATTCATATTTATTCAGGTTTTGGCCTATTTTCTGATAGTGCAGAGAGACAAGCGTTTTTGCTATTTGCATTTTTTTTGTAGCTACGCAGAGGTGATTTTCATCTTCCCGTCCTCATAAAATGAAAGCTAAACAAAATCTGCTGTCTCTGCTCAACTCTTTGAACTCTGTCATTCTGTAGAGGAACAGTCAGATGCTGTCAGTTTTTACAGTATTGAATTTAAAGGTTAGAGCTATTGTAAGGTGGGGGGGGGAAGTGTTAAGACACCCAATTTTCTAGACTTGAAAAGAATGTTTAAAACAGTAGCTAATGTGCATTTGAGTAGAAAGACACATGGAAAGTATCTTCAACTAAAACAGCAACGATTTTTAAGGGAAAGACATTTGGCAAATGCAGCAATACTCTGCTTTGCAAAATATGTTGTGCACTTTCTCTTTGTGAGGTTTAAAGCTTCACACGCCCGTTATTTTATCTATCAGGACTGTGATCTTTTGACTCCTGGCTGCAAGCACAAAATGCAGGCAAGCATGCAAGGTTGTCACGTGGCACAATCCTGCAGGAGAGCTGCTGTTGTGACCATCAGATTCACCTAGGTGCACAAAACAGAAGTAGAAAATAATTTCTGGGAATGTGCCTTGTGTTGCTCTGTGGCACTGCTTTGTGAATACCTGAAAGATGACACAGGCAGCCTTTGAAAAGGGCATCGGCTGGGCTGAAAGCTGGGAGGAGGGTGGCTGCAGTACAGGCAGAAAATTTCCAGGAGGTTCTTTTTTGCTTCACTGTAGCTGAGGTTTCCCAGTTTGCCAGTCTTTGTGCCCAGATCCAACTACTCTGACTGTATTTCAGGATGCAGTATATGCAGAATCCATGAATGTATGTGGAATCCAAAAAGCCTGGAATTTTTGCCGTTTCTCTAGAATGACTGATTTCACGGGTGCCGAGGTGTTTCCATGCTACAGGTCTGCTTTACCAACGCTCTGATGCAGTTTTCTGCTTGGACACGCAGCCTGCTAGTCGCTCGAGTGTATTTGGGTGTACAAGACTTGTGAATCTTGTGCTGCTGCGTTTTGATCTCTCCTGAGGAGAATGTATTTTATCCCTGGACTACGTGAGGGGAACATATGCAATGTTCAGTTGCAACATGCCGAATGATTAGGAATGATTGTAATACAGTGGGCGATCTAATGATTATAATCTCATTAGGCCTCTCATATCAGTAGTTGCAATTTATTTTTTGTAGCCGTAAGGTTAATGGAGGAAATTTGAAATTTGTTATAAAACCGAAATACAGTATTTTCATTTTGAAGGGCTGTGTGACGTTGCTTAGATATAATTCTGAAGGAACTGCCATTTACTGTGTGATTTAAGGATAGAGAACACAGGTTATGCTTTGGCATATCAGTGTTGATCATCATGTAGGCAAAGCTTGTAACTGGTCTGCATCCAGCACAGCTACCATCACAAGAAAAGAGTATCTCTGAGGTGTTGGTTTCACTACATTAAATGCTTGCCACCTGTGAATTTCTAAAGTTAAATCACGTCTCTAGACTTTAACATATCAACCCCAAAATTTGGCCATACATCCACACTTGTGTACGTGTAGGGTAGCTAACAATGATATTGCTGATAGACTAACTGCTTCTCAATTT